TGCTTCTCTAACAAGACACATCTACTTTAACTCCTACCTCTCTCTGGTTGAGTCAGGTCAAAGTAGCATCATTTACCAAAAGCAACTGAACCGTTTTAGCCACACGAATATGTTGTAAGACTGACTTTGCATAGCTACCTGCTGCAGGCACAATCATTTTGTTGTAAATTCACATAAAAATTCCATCATGCAAAAATAAGCAAAATATCCTGATGTTTAGATAAACATCTAGGCACTATGTAAATTAATTCAAGGAATGAATAGTGGTGTTGATGTACAGTAGCATGTGTGACACACTAGTATCTGCTTTAAAATAAATTAAATATTAAAATACCTTACACAAACGCATCCGATAGAAAAATATTGTATAACTTTTGCAGCTAAATTGAAAATATTCAAGTTGTGTGTTTTATTAATTTACTGAGCTTGGAGTGTTAAAATATATCCTGTATATAGCAAAAGGAAGGAAAAGGGTGTATGAAAAGCTGTGGTATCCCTTACTTGCTCAAATGTTAACACCAAGTACATAGCCACGTCGAAATAGTTGGAGCCCTTAGTACTTATGTTTGTCTTTTTTATCCATTTATGTAATATATTCATTTATATTTTAAATCTGCAAAGTAACAAGTATCTAGATATCTTGTATCTATAAATACATTTAGTTGAGTAAAAGGTACAACATTTGCCAACAAAATGTAGTAGAGTAAAAGTATAAAGTTGCATAATGTGAAGTACAAGTACCTTCATTTTCTACTTATGTGCCGTACTTGAGTAAATGAGTTAAGTTACTCTACTACTGCATGTAATACGTTAAGAGGTGGGAGAAGTATTCAGATCTTGTACTTCATTAAAAGTAGAAGTACCGGAGTGTAGTAATACTCTGTTAGAAGTGAAAGTACTGCATTTAAAATGTAACTCAGGTAAAAGTATTAGCATCAAGTAAAAGCACTCATCATGCAAATTGGTACATTTCTTAATATTATATATCGTATGTTTTGATTATAATGATTGATCATTAAAGTCTTATCAAAGCTGGTAAAGGTGCAGCTAGTTTTAATGACTTTGTATACTGCAGGATAGATTGTGAATTTACTCCAGGTGTAACTAAAGTCTGATTTAAGTGTTGTTTGTATTTCACATCATTAATCCACATCTGTAAAGTAACCAAAGGTACAAAATACATGTAGTGGAGTAAAAGTACACCATTGCCCTGCCCTGAATTGTAGTGGAGTAGAAGTACAAAGTAGCATACAATTGAAATAGTAAAGTACAAGTATCTCAACATTTTACTCAAGTACAGTACTTAGTTACTATCCATCTCTGAATACGTTACTTCCTAAACCTGTTTATGTATTTAAATACTTATTTTTCCTCCAAACTTCTGCTTTACACCTCAGTCCAGTAAGTGGCGGTAATGCACCAAATCGTTGCTTGGTAACCGCCATGAACCTGAGAGAAGAAGAAGAAGAAGAAGAAGAAGAAGAAAAGATGGCGGAAGTATACACAACAGTCACCCTACTGCAGAAAGCATGACTACACGACATTGATATTCAGTGAGTAGACAGCAAAATTACAGAACATACATTAATTAATTGAGAGAATGTAATGACATGCGAGATTTTCGCTTATCTTTCTTCAACCATGTGTTCCTGCATTAGTGTTTTAACCGCTTGTGTAGAGAACAAGGTAATATTTCTCAATGACACCACTTACCACCTAGAGTGTATTAATTGAAAGTACATGTTCCTATTGTAAGTTCTTAACTAAACTCAGCCTATATTACTTTAACAACTCCCTCTGTCAACGACAGCCTCCCATGTTAACTCTTAGAAGTTAATGTTGACATTTTAATTCCACACCAGTTCAACACATGCATTTACTGCAAGGTATTTTGTAAATAATTAAGGTTTACTGACTTACTAATGAACTTTACACTTAACAAACTTGTAAAATCGGTTGGAGTAGTCAATACTGTGTTTTACCTGCAGACGCTGTCGAACCAACTTCTTTGAAAGACAAATAAAAGAGTAAAACTTCCTTTAAATAAGTAATTAAGTAAATTTGGTGTATGCCAAATATCACAATGAACCCAGACGGATTGAGAAATGGCTCATTTGTGATGTGTGAATAGTGAAGCATATGAAAGGAAAACTTTAATTTGTCGTTTTTTTTAAAGGCTTCTACTGAAGCCTTCCGAGTAAATCCCCAGAACGCCGACCCCTCCTCATCACTCCACCGCGTTGGTGCGCGGGGCTAAAGCTAATGCTTATAATGCTAATGCCAGCAAATACAATGGCGGCTTCATAAAACATTTCAGAGCCTAGTGGTTTACTTATTAAACTGGACATTGAATTTCCCAATTTGATGTACTGACTTTGGACATGCATTGTGTACAAGTCTCACACAAAATGTTATTCATGGTGCAGAGAAGATATTTAACATAACATCCATTTAATGTTGAATGATTAACCCAATTTACCAACAGGATCAAATATTCAGATTTTGATTGTGACTAAATAAACATTGTATTATTAAGGTGTCATTCACCCAAAGGTGTCCGGCGGCCCATATGCACTTTTTTTTTTAAAGATATTACTCACATTTCCTACAGAGGCAAGAGAAATGCAAGATAAGCAAGCCAATAAATGTTTTTTTTCTGTATGTGTCAAGACCAGTATAACAGTAACAAATAAAAAAACGTATACATTGATGAAAAGCAGAAAGAAAAACGCACCATGCTTATTGCCTTGTTTGTAAATATGCACTTAAAACGGCAGTCATTTTTTTGTTTGTCTGTCAGTTTGCAGGAAAATGAACTGACATTGTGGTAGAAGAGAGGGATTTTTTTCTCAACTATGAATCACATGTCAAATAATAATAATAATACTCTCCTTTTTTACCTAGGAAATGTCTGCAGGTTGTGTGAGGTGGATGCTGAGCCGCACAGTGAAAGCTGTGTGTGTTGGCAGCCATGGATACTGGACACCAGCGTCAAGATTCACCATACGCAGTGAGAGATCTAACCTCATTGCTTCCTCCTGGCGAGGGTCTCCATTCTGCTCTGCTGTAGACGACACAGAAAAACCTCCCACGCCAAAGAAGAAGAAGCCTGGTCCTCGAGCTCACGGCACAATCAGCTCCGTCGGCCATGACATCCCGCACCGTGAGATTCAGTTGATAAGTGAGACGGGCGAGAACTTGGGCACCATGCACCGCGGGAGTGTGATCAGACTCATGGACAAGAACGGTCTCAAATTAGTGCTGCTCAGTGAGCACCAGGATCCTCCCGTGTACCGGCTGATGAGCGGCAAACAGATCCACGAAGAAAAGCTGAAACAACGGGAGAAGCAGAAAGCTAAAGGTATGAAGTGTGCGGAATAGACCCAAATTAGACATTTGTATAAAACTGTGATTTCCAACCTGAGGGTGGGGAAACAATTCAAAGGGCTGACACAATTTGGTTAACAGGTTAGAAAGAAACATATTTCTGCTGCAGTAAACTATATTTCTCACATTTTGCAGTAAAATCCTTGTTTGTCCAACAAACCAGAGCTGAACCATAGTTGTATTTGAAAACGTACATTTATTTAAATGTCTATAACAGGGAAACGATCTGAATGATTTAGACAAAATTATCCATTTGTGATTATTTTGACTGATAATTCTTATGTGATTTTGCGATATTAGGGCGAATCATCACTTTTAAATCATTACTTTTATCTTAATTATAAATGATATTAAAATTAGGGCTGTCAGTTGATTAATCGCATGAAGTCCATAGTTAATCGCGATTAATCGCAAATTAATCGCACATTTTTTATCAGTTCTAAATGTACCTTAGAGGAATATTTTTCAAGTTTTTAATACTCTTAATCAACATAATTAACATACATTTCAAATGTTTACATATTATTGATGATATATATATACAGTGATACAATTACATTTCAAACCCGCGTGTGTGTGTGTGTGTGTGTGTCTCATTCACTGTCCCTCAGGTTGTGGCATGTGTATACATATTGGGCAGCAAGGTGTGCCTTGTCTCCTTCTCCTAGGATGATCCGAATTATCTAACGCAGCCCCTCGTCCTCCACAATGTGAAGCTGTAGCCAGACATTTAGCTATCGCTGTTGAAAGCTTGCTGCTCGTAGACGTGTCCGTCTCCCCGGGTAAACTTTCAAGCGTGTTCTGCCGAAAGCGAGCGGCAGGAGCGGGGCTGTCAGCATCAGCTGTGTGCTTGGCTTGCTGTTTAAAACACCTTTTTTTGTATCCATATCTCTCGCTAGAATCTCCCACCATCCAACTAACAACAACAACAACACGTCAAGCCTTTGAGCTCTGAAACTACGGGGCGGGCCGAGGACAAATACACATGCGTTAATCGCACGTTAAAATAATTAGTGGCCTTAGCACGTTATTAACTTGACAGCCCTAATTAAAATAATGAAACATTTTGGAGGATCTGTTCCAAAGAAGTTTTAAGTCTGTAGAATACGATGTGTGGATCAGCACATTTCTGCAGCACGTTGTTTATTTCAAATGGTATTTTGACACATATTTAGCCTTTGAAAACTATTTTGTGATTTAGTAGTCACATCGCAATTTCGATCACGTTTTATTTTTAATTCCCTAGCTGAGGCTTTAGTTCATCTCCTCATCTCTGTTGTTGTGTTAAATATATACAGACACTTCTTCTGTTCCTTTAGCTATAACCTAAGTAGTTTCAACATGTCATACACATCATGATAAACAGGACTGACTGTGTTGTCTCCTCAGCCCCCACGCAGGTGAAAGAGATCAGCTTCCTCTCTTGCATCTCCTCTCATGACCTCTCCACTAAGATGAATCGGGTGGGGAGCTGGCTGGAGAAGAAGAACCACGTTAGAATAACTATGAAAGCAGGACGGAGGGGACCTTCAGACAACCTGGTGAGGAAATCACACTCGTTTTTTCTGAGAATTGCAACAAAAATACTCAGCAAATATCTGTTCTTAATCTTTACATGACCTCCATGATCAGTTCAGCTCAAAACTCTCAACCCCTTCTCTCTCCTCACCTTCCCTTGGTGCCATTTCTTCCCAAACGGCACTTTTAAATGTCCCTTAATGGTTTAGAGGAGGTGGACAATTGTAACAATTATCATTTCATAGCCACACATTGGGCATGTATTCCCAAGAATATATCCTAACACACACACTGTTCTATTTTACACAGGACATAACTCTGGAGGAGATAGTGGAAGGAATGGAGAAGACGGTGGGATATGTTTCTAAGCCGGCACTCATACAAGACGGCCAAGCAGCCATGTGCATCCTGAGGCCGCCTTCAGCAAAGGACCTGTTAAAAAAAGACAAGAACAAGACTGCAGCAGAGGTGGTGCCGCCTGGAGACAAAAGCACGACGACCATCGAGAGCGTAGCATCTGTTGTCAGCAGCACGGACACAACAGAAGGGTCTTTACAGCAGTGATGTGACGGAAATAAAACATTCTCATGAAAACAAAAAGCCTGTGCTCACAGTTTGGTGTGAATCGCTTCATCAGGAAGTGCTTGTGTTGTGTAGAGGTTTTACTAAGCTTGGTGTTATACATATAATGATGCATCCACGCAAAGCTAAACAGCTAAAAGAAAATGTTGTGCATGTGCGAGTTTTTAAAGAATGGTGCCCCATGTATAATATCTGTACTTGAAAATATGACATAGTTTTACTTACCTAAAGACTACCTTTATTTGATAAGTGCAGGTTACTTTTTACAGGCACATTCTGAAAAACACAAACTGAAATGTCCTGTTATCCCATATTAAAAAAAAAATTGTAAGAAATGAACTGCTTAATTATATACTGTGCTGGTTAGTTAGACATTCAATTAGCTGATTCACATGTCTTTAAAAAAATTACCTCTAACAGTAGTCCTGTTGCAGAAAACCATTTACTCTTGGTCAAGTATATTTTGTATAATATATTTACACACACAACTGATCATCCGACAGCCAGATAAGATAGCATATATACACACACACACACACACACGATGCAGGTTGCGTCAGAGCCTTTCCTTTGAGGATTCAGTAATTGAATGTTTTGTCTGAAGAGATTAATCAGAACATCTTTGGTCTGAACTTAATATGTTGAGATCCTTTCCATCTATTGTAGTGCCTTATATATTCAAATTTCTTTATTAGGATAAACCCCTTGAGGTGAATCACCTCGTTTTCAAGGGGGTCCCAAGAAAACAAATAACAAACAAGTACAACATACAAACATAGTGGGCCATGAAGGCATTGCAAGTGGGCTGCCAAATAATTTGCAAAACATAATGATTTGTGTGGAAACATTTCATTAAGATTTATTTTATTTGAACCTCTTTCCTTTCTCTTTCTTGATCCTCCTTAGCAACGGTCATTTCAGTCCTTTAAAGCGGTCTGTTCTACTGGATTAACGTGTCACATCATGTTCTGAATTGACATCAGAATTTATTTTACATGAAAGCTACAGCATTCGTTAGGTTTCCCTTGGCATTTATTCCGCTTTTTCGTTTGTTTTGAATATGGGAGTAGAGTCCACACATTTGACAATGTACAGAAATTTGTACCTGAAATATAATTAGTACAGATTATTTAAACACACAGACCGATGAGTCTAGAGGTCTGTATCAGTTAAGGAGATGTGGATTGTCTTGATTTTTGATCTATTTGTGACCATTTTAGACCAGCTAAAGGATGAGGATGAAGGTAGTAGAAGTTAATCTGAGCGAAGAACTTATAGATCATATGGATCATTCATAATTAATGTCAAACAAGCGTGGAGAAGGTGAAATGAAGACACCAAACAAACACCAATTCATCTTTCTTTGCTTTATTCAAGATTCATCTTTTATATTTTGGTAAAAAATTAAAATAAAAGCAAATTTTGGCATACAGATACATTCACTTGTCACGGATAAAAGTGTTCACTTGACTGATGTGTGTCACACTTTATCAACACCTTTCTCTAACAGCAGAGATATACTGTCCTGGAACTTCTTTTTTTTTAAACGAAATACTTTTTTCTATACATAAAAAAACATTAAAGAGAGGACTTGAACATAAAATCACCTTAAGGCCCAAAAAAATAAAATCTTTCCTAGATTGTGTTAGAAAAAAATTGAGAACAAAAGCAGTTTAACTAGCCTGCATGAAGAGCATTTGTCAATAAGCCTCGAGAACTTTGTAGGAGGAGAAGGGTTTTACAAAGTGATAGTCCAGGTTGCCGCAGTGAGGGCACTGCTGGACGTTGCTGTACTCGGAGAAATACTGCATCCCCACTCGAACGTCCACCACCGGCTTCCCGCAGTGCTTACAGTTTAGACGAGCCTGAGGAGAGAAGGAGGACGCAGGTTAATGAACAGGTCGAGAAATAAGAACGTTAAAAGAATTGAGCGTTCAAGTTTTGAAGGGGGGGCAAAATGATCATCTCATAGGTCCACTCAATAACTTTCAATGAGCTTTCAACTGCATTTCCTAGTGATCATTTTCCAACTGTATATCCATTGGTTCAAGTCAAAGGGAGTTTGAAGAAGAAACAGAGAAGATTTTTCACGGTCTTCTGTGTCTATGGTTCAAGTTTTTTTAGGGAGGGTGGCCGGTTCGAGTCCACAGACATTACATCTTGCTTTTACATGTATAAAAAGCCACTAACAATAAGTGCAATTACCTCCTAGACCAGTGATTCTCAAATGGGGGTACACTGACCCCTAGGGGTACGTTGGGGTACTCCAGGGGGTACGTGAGGTTAAAAAAAATACGTAAAGGTTAATTAAAAAAATACCATGCATGATTACAAAAATAATCTTAGTACAATAAGTTAAATAGAAAACAGAATTTTATATAAAATATTCCTAGAACCACTAAGGGGGTCCTCATATAAACATGTTACATTTGTGTATTGTATTTATAGTTTTTAATAATATATCATTTTGTTCATTGGTTTGTTAAACATATATTAAATAAATTGAAAAACTCCTTGGAAAAATATTTTTTTTCATGCATAAAGATGAAAATATCCTTAGTTTGTTGTAATTCATAAGGAGTTAATAAATCAAACACTGATGGAACATCACTATATTGAAATTATTTATATACGCTTTTTCTGTCAAAGATTTCCGGGGTCGGTCAGGGGATACTTGGCTGAGAAAATGTTTCAAAGGGGGTACATTACTGAAAAAAGTTTGAGAAGCACTGTCGTAGACGATACACATTCAGAACATTTAGTTTGAAGTCATGTTTCTGGCCATTTCTTTTCGTGATTCTCAAATCTGTTGTTACTTTTTTTTGGTCGGTACTAATTTTCTGAAGGGATGCATGGTTCTGTAGCTACTGCATTTATTTATTTATTTATGCATTTATTATTAATTAACATCACTTCAGTATGTTTTATTTCATTTTTAAGTTTGTATTGCTTTAACTGTCTGGTTTTATTATTCGATTTTTCCTGGTTCAAACCATGAAAAGCACTTGTAACTTTGTTTTGAAAAGTGCTGCATAAATACATTTTTCACGGCTCATTAACAGGAACGGGACACATGTGACAGTAGTTTGACTGCTCTCATTGACACTGCTTTATTTTCTATTTTTTTAGTAATGTGCTCCTAGTGTTCCTACCTGGCAGCAGGGGGAAGCAGCCAGTATATCGTAGGTGTACATGGTGCCCAGTTGGTGCCAGCTCCCATCCCAGCGTGACTTGCATTTGATGCAAACGATCTTGTGGACGCCTTCTAAACAGTCCACACAGATGGCGTAGAGGTGCATTAACCTGCCTGTTAGAAATAAAGAAATACAGTATAACATTTACTTAGCAACAAGTATCAGTCAGTTTTCTGTTAAACAGCCAAAATAAATCATAACATAACAAACTCCTCGTTGCATCATTACTATACTTCTCAGTCCTGACATATGTGAATAAAGTGGTTTACGCGGATGTGATTTAATTTATTTAAAGTGGACCTGTCATGCTATATTTGAATAATATAGTGTAAGACCATACCTATATAAGGCATATTTATACTTTTTATTATTCAAAATACCAAACAGATCAGGCATTTTAGCCATTCCTCATTTCGCTCAATTTAACACTGTCTTTGCA